CAGTTTTCCCATTTCCGGGCCCCTCCACAATGAACGGTATCCACTGCATTACGACTTTCCTAAAACGCTGATTTGTGTCAGCATGTTTGAAAATTCTGGATTTTCCAGACTGAGTGTTTTTCAAGTACTGATTTAGAATCTGTAAATTACCACATACTGTGACCAATTTTGGTATTTAGCAGTTTCTCTGAGATTTTAATAGCCGGGGTTTCTGCTTAGTTAGGGCAGATTCCGGTTGGTACGTGATTATCCCAGTACCATCGGGGAATTCGATGTACACCCCACCCCACCATTTCTAACGCACTTTTGCGGACCCATCGTATGACTCTGCCCCATTGTTCTTGGGTTTTTCTTATCAATAAAAACGAGGGTGGCCATTTTGCTTTGTACATATTTGCTCTTTCTTGTCAAAATCCCTTTACTTTTTGTCTGGATTTGTACCGTTATTTTTACATTTTTTTCCCTTTGGGGTTTTTCCGGGAATACTTTTTAGTGGGCCCCGCTTGATTTTGCACTTTGTCTAACTCCTTTAATGTGGTACTAGATGCTGAACACCATGCAGTTGACCCATATTCCAAGTGTGGAAGTATGCTCTGCTTGTATACTTTATTGAGTATTTTTCCATCTGCTCCCCATGTGGTTCCACTTAGTTTTCTTAGTATTGCTGTCTTTCTCCTGGCTTTGGTTGCTGCCTTGTTGATATGTTTTCTCCATGTCAACCTGTCATCAAATGTGACTCCTAGGTATGTGGGCTCTTTATCATCTCTCAGGGGTATTTCGTTTATTTTGATGGTGCCGGCTTTTTTGCTTTGGGGAGAGGGTGAATAGTGTGGTGCTACATTTGTCTGTGTTGATGCTGACACACCATCTATTGGCCCATGCCTCAAGTGCATTTGTAGCCCGCTGTAGTGTTTTTGTGGCTATCGTTGCATGTTCATTGGTGCACCACAGTACCAGGTCGTCGGCGTACATTGCCATTTTGATTCCATTTGGTATCTCAGCAACCAGATCGTTGATAAATAAAAGGAAAAGTGTGGGCGACAGGACACCACCTTGAGGGACGCCTTGTCGCAGTAGAACTTTTTTACTTTTAAAACCATCTACCTGTACCCGGGCTCTTCTGTTATGTAGATATGCTTTAATCCAATTGTACATTTTTCCATTTATTTTATAGTTTCTCAATTTCTTCAAAAGCCCCTCCTTCCGCCATGGAAATATATAAAACAGTAAATCTACATTTGTCTTGATATTTGTTATCTATTTAATTTTGTGCAAACAATATCAGATAGGATAAGTAATATTGAACAGTTGTGAAGCTGTGACATTTTTTGGGAGTCTGAATTATTGTCAGACAAAGGATTTTTCAGTTGCCTTTTTTGCAACAATCTGCAGCCACATGATGATGATGATTATGTCAGACAAAGTAAACCCCATTTTTTGTCTTCACACTGTTCTCTGTTAAATTTTGTAAAACATTATATATGTTTGTTGAAAATTTGTGAAAAAAATCATCACTATCAGTCTTTATTGTTGTCAGATAAATGATTTTCAGTTGCCTTTTTTGCAACAATCTACAGCCACATGATGATGATGACTATGTCAGAGTAAACCTTATTGTTTTTTTCTTTAAATGTGTTCTTGGTTTAATTTTGTGCAAAAATACAAAATATTATACATTTTTGTTAAATATTTTTTGAAAATAAGACATTTTTATTTGTCTTTATTGTTGTCAGATAAAAGATTTTCCGGTTGCCTTTTTTGCACCAATCTACAGCCACATGATGATGATGCAAAACAAAATAAACAACTTTTTTTTCTTGAAATCTGTTCTTCATTCAGTTTGGTGCAAAAATACAAAATATTGTGAGATTATATCAAATAGTTGTGAAGCTATGGCATTTTTAGTAAACACTAAAATACGTGGTATCTGGGGAAATGCAAGGGTTAATGGGCTTGGTAGTCAGTGGGTTAATGCTATTTAATCTTCAAAGCAAGTTTTCATCTGACTTCTTTTGTGCAGTCACCACTGCTGTTCCCTATTGAGTCTAGACATTAAAAATCTGTGATATTTTCGATTTAATTATCGATTTTAATATTTTTAAATTTGTTTATAATTAGTTAAACATAAATCTATGCTGTCCATAGGGTGTTAACTGAAGGAAGTTATTGAAAATTTCTTGAACAAAATATGTAACATTCTTTAAACATTTATCCGCTTTACATTTAGAGCACTGCAGTAACATCTTTGTATCAATAATGTTAGAGGACATGATACTTGTTAGTAGAATGCAGCTTTTCTTCTCCTTCTACGTTTCTAACCCCCATGGAGCACAGGCCCTCAACCAACTCATGCCAAGTCATTCTATCCTTTGCTATCGCATGCAGCTCTTCCCATGTCCTCCCCTCCTTTCAACTTCACTCTCTAGCTCCCTTCCCCATGTGTTTTTTGGTCTTCTTTTATTCCTATGCCCCTGTGGGTTCCACTGCAAACTTTCATTATTCTTCCTACATCATACAAAGTTCTAACATTCCAGATGCACATTCTGGAGGTTTTCCTAAGTGTAAGGAGATATGTCAATGATCTGGACTCCTTTCGGCTTTCTCCACACAATGTCATACTTCTTCTTCTTGAAGGGCCTTCCCTCATCTGGGTTGGCTGGATTTTTCTTTTAATGCAGCTTTTAGTTTATAATATTTAAAATCTTACCCCCAGCAGCAGCCAGAACAATACGAGGACCTTTGTAATGTGTTTTTATGTATTCCAAAAGGTCACTGCGTGTAATGGACCTGTTAAAAAAACAATGTTATAATTTTTTTTTAAATACTGTCAATATATGCATTCTTAAGGATTAAAGTAAGTAATTAAAGATCCTTTTTCACGCCTGTAGGCGCATCAGGCACATGGAAAGAGCATCCATATTTTTACAGATCAATCTTCACTAGATGGGTAATGTTGTCAGTCTTACGCCGGCCGTCTTTACTTCCCCAGAACATACATGCTGGTACCCTTTTTAGGTTGGGTCAACCTGCGATGCCCCACACCATGATAAAAATCCACGCAGCCAGCAGTGGACTTTGATCGTGGTACACTGGAATTAGGAGTCGGACTCGCAATGCCTAAGCCACGGATGCCGCTGTTCTTAAGGATTAGCCACATAAAAACCCAGTAGCCAGAGATATCAGTCACAAGACTGCAGACCCAAACACTGATTAGTTAAAGTAACAATTTAAATACAAACAGAACTAACATCTTCTTGGTACTATAACTTTTGAAAGAGTTGGGTAAACATTTTTTTTTTATACATCAAAATAGAGCATCAAATCTAGGAATGAAGATATACAGAATCAGTTCCATTTCAATGGAACTTACAAATGTTTTTTTAAAATTACATATAGAAGTTCTAAAGAAGCTAGGAATTAAAAGAGCGATGAAGGAAGGTAAAAAAAAAAGAGACAAGCACAACATTAGAAAATTGTATAATTGTAAAAATCACACTGGAAGGGAAGACTGAAGGCAGACGCTCAAGAGGTAGGCAATGTTACACATGGAAGAGTAATCAAGAAAAGAACAAACAACATCATCATCCCCATCTTGTGGTGCCATGACATGCTGCAAAGAAAATATGTATACACATTTTTTCCCCCCGGAAATGCCTGTTTGACATTTGCAAATGATGCTGATACTAACTTGATGTTTTCTGTAGGTCCAAGAATAGTCTGCCCCAAAGATGTTCCCTGGTATGCTATTGCATGCAGATGATCAAACACCACTTCCTGGAGATTGGTTTCTATTTCCTGTTAATAACAAAACCAAATATTTTATTCTCTGGTTTTCTAATCTGTCTGTATTTTGTATATTCACTATCTTATACACTCTTTTTCTATATTATGAAAATACAACAACCAAACGAGCTACTGTGGCATAGAGGTTAATGTGCTTGCCCGCTGAGCAAGAGGCCCTGGTTTAATCCCAAACAGTGACAAACTTCTTCAGATATTTCCAGAATTTCTGGCCAGTAGTCTAGGAATAAAAAAGCAACAAGGAAGGAAACAAGCCACATAACCTCAAATATCATGGCCTAGAATATCTGACAGCCTAACACTTCATAAAGGTTAAATGCATTCAAAAAACAAATGCCTAAGGAAAGTAATGAACATTAAATGGGATGATTTCAAGGAAGAAATAAGAGAATCTCTGGACCACTGGTTGTTTCAACAGTTAAAAGACAAAGAAGATGGTGAAATACAGAGCTACATTCTGAGAAGTTAGCAGAGAATGGAATACAGAAGATTTATACTAGAGACAACACTGCAGATATAAATTATTTATTTCAAGTGAATGAAAGAAGAAGAAAAAGAAGAAGAAGAAAAAGATTCTCTATCACAAACAGTTGGAAAATTGTGAGAAAAGATATCTGATCACATACCCATTCAGTGTCGATTGGTCTAAAATAATATGATCTAGACTTGCTTTGAAAATTGAGCCTTTACTTCTTCTTCTTAAAGTCCATGCCGTGTAACGCTGGTAGTCATGTCTATCCACAACCTTCTGTCTTGTGTACTTTCAATCTTTTTTAACTTACTATGAAGAATTATTTAACCGCTCTGCAAATTACTTGTTAACCAGCTCACGAGATAACAAACATTACAAAATAAATAAATCATTTACGTTTAAAAAACAAATTATATTAACCTGCATCTCTCGTAAGATGACACCTCTCTCCCTCTCTATCTCTTGCTCTCCGAGAAGACTGTTCTGTGTGATGTCTGCTAAAATCTCTACCGCTGCAATGACAGCACAGCAGGAATTATAGAAAACATTGAAATCTGGTATTTTAACTTTAAAAGTAACCATTGTAAAGATGGGGAGTGCTGCATGGGATAGCGAAAGACAGAACGACTTGGCGTGATCTGGTTGAGAGCCTACGCTCCCCTGGGGGTTAGAAAGGCAGAAGAAGAAGAAGAAAGTAAAGCACCACTTTCCATACCTTGAGGTACATTGGGCATTTGGTATAAACCCCATATTTTTATATCCAATAAGTACCTGATGGGTAATGAGGTCAATATCAAATCAACCAAATTTACTTCTAAGGCATATCCTGGTACTAACTTTTCAGTTGGTCTGAGATGGGAGACCATGTTAATAAAACAAAACAACAATTTTTTTTAATAATTTCTACATTGATGAGAATAAACACATGACCACCTCACGTGGGTCTGGGGATCCATTCTGGTGTACAAAGACCATAGCCACTGCCCCCTTAAGATGGATGTCACTAATTAGGGGTGTTTCTTTTAAACAGATCTGTAAAACAGATGTGCACATAAAACTCAGGTTCTGCATCAAGACCAAAATCCAGGAGTGAATGAACAACTAGAACCTTTCACCAAGGTTTACAGCCAGTGAATGCTAATAATAATAATAATTCATGACCATGGACCAGCAAGCATGCAGACTAGCTACTACACTATCATGGCTCACATTTTGATTAGTTTAGATTATTTTACATAAAAGAAAATTCCTTAAATTTTAATTGAACATAGTCACTCTAGTTTCTTCCTTGTTAAGTTATTATTTCCTTTATTTTATAAATTTCAGCTAAACCATTTACAAACTGCCTTGTATCCGTTCCTAACCTTTGTATTTTTGTTATCAGTACACTGGGAAGGATTCTAGCCTTATCCTAGGATGAGGAAATACATTAAAAAAAACTTAATGTTCAGCAAGGCAGTTAAGGCCTTGGTTGGCAGCCGGTCTAGGAGGGAAACTCTGATTTGTGGGCAGACAGAGCACCACTCTTTTGATCTGGCAGCTTCTGCTGCATACTTTATTCCAAATTTATTGGTGTTACCTTTCCTCTGAAGTTGACTAACGTGGGCAACATAGGTCTCTTCATTACTGCCTAATTTTTGTGCTATCGAGTGGAGGAACTTCATTCCTGACCATCATATCATCATGGGCTGTGATTCCCACCACTCCCTACAGCACAATAGAACACAATCATCAATAAGAACAGAAAGATGCCTCCAAAATTAGCTTCAGAGTATGTTTCAATGACTCTAACTTTAGCAGCACTGGTTTTTCTATTGTACTACACACACAGAACAATATTTACTATGATTATACCTGTGTATTATACAAAGTAACAAAACTCATCATTAACAAAGATGGCTATGTAAGACAAAAATTATGCTGTGACAACATGTAAGGTAAAAATATTTATAGTAAATTGGTTTTAAAAGAAGAAAATTGAGACAATATTTTTAACAAATGTATAAAGATATTTTAAAGCAGTAATCAATGAATGGACAGAATGAAGCATCAATAACATGGACAGACTGAAGCATTAAATGGAACATATTTCCCACATGACACTTATATGTGAGTCTTATGGGGAAAATTGTGACATCTTGGCTTTCTAAAAGCCACTTACTTGGTTCACATGATTAAAACCTTATATAGAAATCAGAAACTGATTAATGCTTTTATTGAACTAAAAAGTGAGGACAGAATATACACAATACCCTTTGGCAGATCCCGCTGAAAGCACTTGGCATAATACACAGTCTGTTCTCTGGATGTGTAAGCATTGAGATGACCGCCCATGTTTTCAATCTCCAATTCCAAATCTGTCTGGTTCCTTTTCTTTGTGCCCTGAATAACATGTTTCAAAGAATAGCCATTTTTACAGGTAATTCTTTCTGAATAATTACAACAAATCTTTTAACATTGACAGAGAGTACATTAGATGTCCTGTTTTAGAAAAAAAAAAATTTTTTAATTGTTGAAATTATCCCATGTAGATTCCAGAGCCCATTTGGAAAAATGTAAGGGAAACAGACCCAGTGCTACCTAAAAAAACATGTTGTGAAAGTCTGCTATATTTGTTTTTAAAAGTCAGATTGCAACAGCCTGAGAGGCAAGGAACCAACAGTCTGCATACAAATATGGTGATAACTCATACTCTGAAACTATTTTCCCCATTAAAATCAATGTTAATAATTTTAATTTGTTCCAGCCCATCAAAAAATCACCTTAAAAGTTTCAAAATGATGTTTTTAATTTCTTTAACAGGGAAAATCTGTGGCACAGCATTTTTTTTTTTTCTGGAAGTGGAAAACAGAATTACTTCTGACCATGATGCTACAATAAATTATCATCAAGTGCCTTGTCTACTGGCTAGTTCATCCTTCAGCAATGTTAATGTGAACTAATCCATTTAAAAGTTATCGAGATGCTTTTGGGTTCTCATCTCTCCAGCTCACAATTCTGGATTTTGTCTCATATTCTAGGGCACACACACACACACATTGGTGAGCCTGAGTTGTGTCCAAGTACACTTGTATCCTGAGCTTCCACGTAGTTACCACTTTGTTTAGGGCAGTGTAGGACAGAAGGGTCATCAGCCCGAGGATTTACGACCAAATGGCTAGTGCAGTCACCAAAAACTGCATGTTAAGGTTTGTATTTCTAACCTCAACAGAAAACATCTCTATAAACATATGCACAAGCAGAAAACAAAAGAAATTAAAGCAAAATACGCATACCAGAAGAAAACACCAGAGAAAATACTGGACAAAAGCAACGCTACCATCGCTTGACTATTGCTATATGATACAGTCTAAAAAACTTAAAAGAAACAGGCACACAGTACTACTCCCACTGTAATAGTGGGAACAATACAAATGCAAATAAGCAATATTTTCCACATTTTTGTTAAACAGAGTTATAGTTTCATCTGTCACTATAAAATGTACAATGTTGTAAAGGTCAGAACTGCCGTTTACTGAAATACACACTAACCTTGAATGCCATGTGTTCTAAAAAGTGGGCGACTCCATTGTTTTGTGGAGTTTCATATCTACTTCCTGCATCTATCCACAGACCAACCTGCAGTTAATGAACAGGAAACATTTACACACACTAATGTAAGGCTTAACAACAAACTAACAATTATTTTTATTATTGAAAGATAATCTGGAGTGCAGGCTTAGATTTTAACTAACAAAGCTATTTTACTTTAGTAAGTTAAAATGATCGGTGAAAGGAAAAGTAAAAGGGCAGACTTAAACAATAGCAAATACAGAAGCTAAAAAGAAAGTTAGGAGGCGTATTAGGGCAAATAAAATAAAATGTTTAGATGACCCAACACAAGAAGTGGAGAGAGCAGCAGCAAAAAAGAAGCCTCTGAGACCTTTACAGTAATAGAAGGAAATTTAGGTAAATATACAGTCAGTCAACATTAATCATCATCATCACCATTATCCATTTCCACTTTTGCCATTAGGCGTCACAACAGGGGAGGAACAGTTTTGTCATCCACTGTTCAATGGATAGCACTGGCTAATATCATTCCATGTAGATGTAGAATGTAATAAATGCCATCAATCCACATTCTCAGTGGGCACTCTTTTGCTTTCATGTATCTGTTTGGGTGTAGTGCCTATGTTGGTGGTTGTTGTGGCTGCATTCTAGTGAGATAACCGAGCCATGTGATCTTTGGCTTCTCAATTAATTTGAAGTGTTCCCACAATCTGCCTGACAGTATAATTTCTCATTCTGTCTCAAATGGTTAATTTCTTCCACAAATCAAAGACTCAGTAGATACACATGAAAACAGCCTGAGAAGAGACTTGCATAGTACATGTGCAACACGAGACAGTCCTGTATCTTCGCATGAAACTGTATGTTTAAGCTACCCTAATCTTACTGTAGACTTGATGTGGGACAGATTTTACAACAGAAGACAATACTAGATAATACAAATAACTCTTTGAGTCTCAGGGAAGGCATCATACGCTCATAGGTTCCTACCTGGAAGCATAATGAACGTAAGATGTGCGGATTTTACGTCTTGACTACCCCTTGGTCCTCTGATGCTAAACCCCTGGGACTCATAGAGTTTAGCAAATCATAGAAGATCTTGTGTAATTAACAATTTCTTCTTCTTCTTTTGTCATCCCACTGATACCAGATTGCAGCCCAATGCTGTGGTTTTCTGTATTTGTCTTGCGCTTCTCAAGTGGCTAGGGTAAAGGATTTGTTAATTTTTTGTACCACGTTTCAGCTAAACCATTTATTCATCTCTTTCCTGGTCTTCCCCTTGACTTCCTACCAGATCTTCTGCTGTAATAAAATCTCATATGTAGTTTTGTCTAGCTGCATTCTCACTAGATGGCTGAACCTTTTCATTCTTTGTCTGTCACTATAATTCAGACATGGTATTATTTCAACTTTCTAATGCTGGTATTCGTAACCCTGTTCCTTCTTTTGATTTTAGTGACCTTACAGAGACAGTGCATTTAACAGGTAGTTATTTTCTGTTATAGTACCCTATTCAATGTCCATGTTTGGCACTGATAAAATAGGGATGAAAGATGTAATTAACCATTTGCCGTTTTACTGGAGGAGACATCTGGGTGTCTTAAAGAGTGGGGCTAGCTGTTAGGTGCCAGCATCTGCCTTCTGTACTCTATCGAGTCTGCCATCTTCTGTAAATATTCTTTCTAGATAACCCAAGATAAATCTACCCTTTACAAACTGGAGAATTATTATATATTCAATGAAACAAAAACCACCCACTGTGCTGGTTATGATTCCTGAGTCTTCAGTGGCCACTCTGAGTCCATTACCAAGTCTAGTAACCCTAGTTTCTGGCATGTTCAACACTGCTTGTTCATATGTGGCTGCTTTTGTTGATCGCCATCGCCAGCTGCCAAAAGCTGATAAACATGGTACCTATGGAGAGAAAATTAAATAGTTTCCAGTGTGACAAAGTGATAAAAATGTTAATTCCCAGTGTGATAAAGTGAGAAACAGTTACCAACATGAAAAAAAGAGAAATGTGTTAGTTTTCGGTGCGACAAAGTATATATGGTGTTATCACTCATCTTTAAAACTACATCCCTGCCACTTTTACTTTCTTCTTCACTAAGTGGCTAACTCCTATACATCAGCATTGGAATTATTTAGCTCTTACGAACTCTATTCCTCACCCCAATTGACAAAGAAAGGTTGCAAAGAATATTCTTCAAAGAGTAATGAATGAAGATGTCTTGAAAGAAATATACACATGAAATGTACTAACCACCCACATAAGAGGTACATGCTTCAGCCATGTGATAAGAAAGAGACAGTAGGTACATTCTTTTTCGCATCAGAATAGAACCCACACAGGGAGAAGATTGATTTTAATTATTTAAAATTTAAATAATGTGGATACAAACAATACATTGTACAATTTACTGCTGGGAATATTTTGCTGCATCACGTCAGGTGCATTACTACGGAGTTAAATCAACACAATAAGCATAAAGATTAAAATCGTTTTTTGCTGAAATACAAAATTATTTTGTCATTGTCAAGTTAGGCTGTGCATTTCTTCACCAAAAATTTGAGATCAGCCATGTGATTACCAAGTTAACTTCAAATTTATCATGTGCTCTTTTTGTTTACATCAAACAGAAAAGTTGTTTTATTGGTACAGCCTCAGCAAGTTTTAGTAAATGTCTATTCAATGTGTGATAAATAACTCTGAAGGCACAATCATTATCAATTACATGCCAGAATTAAGTAAATGACATCCTAGTGAAAAATGAGATTCTATTCTTAGTTAATCTAGATACACAATCTCCACTCAGTAGTGTATGGAGCACTTTCAAATTTAGGGATATGTTCTGCCACTGTTTTCAAGCTGTCTCTCTGTTTGGCCGATCTAATGTACATCAATTAGAATTTACACTTCAACTAATAAATGCAGCTGGAATTGGTGTATGGGAATAATGGTGGGGTAAAGATAGGAGTTTTTTGTTGTTTTTTTAACCAATGTGGCAGTGCCAATAAAAGTTTTACAAACAGCTGTTTCAATGGGTCCTGCAGACAACATTAAGTAACATCTGCATAACCTAATAAAAACAGCTTTTTAAATAACACGGTTTTGAATTTAATTATTTTAAATTATTAAATGTTGTCATGAATCATAATGAATTACTAAATTATAAGATGTAAAATTTGAATCCGGTATTCAACGATTATTTAATATTTATATTATTTTCATTCAATGATTCAACTACATTAAGAAAAATTACAGACCTCTAATGATGCATACCCTATATATCATTAGATGTCTCTTATTTTTCTTTTAATATTATTACAAAATCTAGCAAGAAATACGTATGAAGACTATGCTTCAAAGGAAATTAACTTCGTTGCTATGATCATGATGATGATGAAAGTGTCACAGGGTGTCAATGCGTAAATAGCCAGAGCTTTTGTTGAGACAGTTATTTTATTTTAAGACTCAATTCGACAGACTAAAAAAACGGGATCTTTTCTTCAAATAATAGTAATAACATATAACAATTACCTTAGATGTAGTGTTTAATAGGCCGGCGACTCTCCCAGTCACCTTTAATAATAATAGTGACGAAGCCATTTCAATGCCTACCCTTTCGAGTCAATTGAGTCAAAGTTTACAGACAGGGGAGGCAAGCTTGCATCACGTTGAATGTAGCAGAAGTCAGTGTCATTAAAAGTTGATCTAGGCAACATTAAACGAAACACGAACGTTTCGAGACAGACAGGAACTGGATTCAGACTATTCAGAAACTACTTGAGGATAGAAAATAGAGAGGATGTAGACCTAGTTCTATCTGTGATAAATTTTATTACTTTTACCAATGGCTACGTTATCCCAAAAAATGGAAAGCATCCATGACATCGCAAGTATAATAGTAACTGAAAGAAAACATACCAACGGCTTAAAAGATCTTCAGACAGATCAGAGGCAGCATATTGCAAACTGTGTCAGTGCATTTTTGAATCAAGAATTAGTTACATATCAAATCATGAACAATCCGAAAAACACAGGATGAAAACTGTTAAAAAGCCAGTCACACCTCATAACGGCAATGGCTCCTAGTCAAAGATATGATGAAATTAGAGGCAGCAGAGTTGCAACTTGCTGTAGGCATGACCTGCCATTGTGCAATACGCACAATTGATTATCTAAGTGAAATCACTGGAGCGCATTCAATTGCATATAACTAAATGTTCATGCCTAAAAATATATATATATATATATATATATATATATATATATATTATATCGCCTGCACTAAAGGATGACCTTATTGATGATTTTTGGAACAAGAATTAGGCCATCATTATAGATGAGTTGCAAAGACTGCATCCCATCTGAGAAAAGATTTTACATCTCAAAAGGTTTACGCTGTATCTTTCATTGGTTCCATTGAGGATGACTGTGAAGAATTCGGTCTAGAGCTTCTGATGTGAAGTGGGGAAATGTAATTTATTTGGCTTTTTCTGGCATATTTTGGGTTGTGGTTTAGCATAAAATAAAGTTTTGTATCTGGCAACCCTGCTGGAGACTTACTCGAATAGGATTACAGGTTACACCAGGCTGGCGTAGCCGCTAGAGGTGCTCTAATTATAATTTATTTTTAGGTTGAACTGGGATCTGCCTTGTTGGTCTGCCGTCAAGATTGAGATTTTTTAACATCTCAGCATGGTATTTAAATGTTGAATTAAGAACTGACATCACAGCACTCGAGACACTTCCATAAGTGCTCAGTCACCAGCAAGCGAAGAGTTCAAATTTTGATGGTACCAGTAACCGTTTGATTTGCATGGTATTTTTAAAAAAAAAATCCTTTACGTGGCAGCCCGAAGGGTGGGTTGAGTTGAGTTGAGCAAATAACTGGCATCACAGCACTCAGGATATTCCCATACGCGCTCCTTCCCCAACATCAGCAGCCATCGCACAGTTCCAATATTAATAGTGCCGAGTGTCAGGGGTAGTTGTAAACAGGATTGCGGTGGTAGGGGTAGGGCTAATCAGTCTAATAGTAAATATTTAGCGACACAAATGTATAACGTCCTGAACTGCTTTAACGAACAGAAATATGTCTTTCGTAACACCTATTCCAAATAATCTCTTGTATGCACACCTCAAGCTTTCAATCAGGTGCCGTCTCCACAATTATTGTTGACTGCAATGGATATATATATATATATATATATATATATATATATATATATATATATATATATATATATATATATATTTATATATATATATATATATATACATATATACATGTAACATAGGGCTGCGAATAGACGTGATAGGTTTTGGAAACTGCACAAACTGATGCAAAGGGAGGATCGGCCTATTACAACAGGCATTGTATACATTGATAACCATATACCGATGACAACAGACAAAGAGAAAGGGGAAGCATTTTTGACGAGATTTATAGCCCAAAGTGATCATAATGATAGGGAGTTTAGTAATTACTATTTTCAGGATATCATTATGGTGGAGAATATAAAATATTCATTGCAAAAAGCAAAAGACATGTAGCTTCTTTTGCTTTTGATGTGTATGAGGGGGTTCCAAAACAGACAGGGGACGGTTGTGACAGCATTTGATCACGGGGAGGCCCACAATAGAGTCAGATATGTTATTTTGATATTTGCACTCATGGAGAAGGGGGGTTGTCCCTGGCTTGTGAACTGGATAGAAGCTGTCCTGCATTCACGTATGGTTGCCTTTCGCCCGAGTACGCTGACCTCAGAACCTTGTAATATGGCCCCGGGACTACTCCAGGGTTCTGCAATTTCACCAGTGCTCTTCAATGTGTATACAAGCAAAATTGCAGAAAAAACCACCAGGTGTTGGAAGGGTGTTGACATTTGCCGATGATGTGCTTGCATAGGCCTATAGGCAGGAGAGTCCTAGACAGCGGATAGTCCAGGAGCTGCAGTCAACTGTACACAAAGTGACTGACTGGTGTGCAGAAATGCGTGCTGTCATTAATTCACAAAAGGCGACTGTTTTGTGGTGCTCTCTGGGCAGTAGAATTGTAAGAGCTAATGTTCCAAGCCTCATAATTAACAACAGTAAGATCAAAAGAGAACGCAAACTGAGGTACCTGGGTATCATTTTCGATAAAAGTCTGTCCTTTAGGGATCATTTGGAGGCAGTTGCGGCTCAATGCTCTCATGATTATGGCAGCAATGGACATGGGACAAAGAATGCTGTTCACAATGTTCAACATTGTGAACAGCATTCCAGCATGTGATCCTGACGATGATAGATTATGGGCTTCAAATGCTTACCATATCAGCTGATGAGTCAGCTGACGAAACTTGAACGCATACAGAATGATGCCATGCGGGTAATTCTGGGATATACAAGAGAAACCCCGGCGGTATGTATGCGATATATAATTGCACTGCCTACTATTGCAGATAGGCTCAAATTTTTGCAAGCAAAGTCATATCTCAGAGTAGCTGTAGACAAGAAGTACCTTCTGCACGAAGCCCTGAGTTGATTTAAGGGTCACAGACTGAAAAGAAGAGGGCCTGGAATGGCGCAAGCAGAAGACACAATGGGACATTGTGCAGGCTTGATAAATTTGGAGAGGAGAGGTGTCCGAGCAAGTTTCAGACTTGTGTAGGGTTCTAAACACTTTAGGTCGTGGGTATAGGGACTGGCCAGCTGGTGCTGCAGAATCGAAAGTTTGAGAAATGATTCACGACAGTTCCCGCCCAAGTGACGTGATTATCTATACGAATTGCTCTGTGCTGAGAGGCAGACGAAGTGAATGGGGGTTCATAGCAAAAGCGAATGTACATCGCTTAGTACAACAGAGCCTTGCGTATGATATCACCACGGCCATCTTTAGCTATAAATCTAGAGTTGGCGGTGGATATCACAACGTCTAGTCTGAGAAAGGAGGTGAAGGCAGTCACTGCTGCCTTCCGCTGGCTTGAGAGTCAGCTGTATATACATGCGGTGATTGTAACTGACTCACAGAGCATGTAGAGAAAGGTGGAGACAGGTATGCTCTGTGCAGAGAGGCAAACATCTCTTCAGAGGTCCTGGGTAGTTAGTGTTCTTTGGATATTTGCTCCAGGTCTTGGTGGTGTGTTGGGAAATGAGCAGGCATATAGCCTAGATTAGCAGGCTCTGCGCCACTTGGCGGTGAATTGATGTATGACAATCTAAATATTTTAAGCGCCCTTTGGGAGCGAGTGATCATAAAGATTATTATGATCTGGCTATAATGTTGCTGCGAGGAGTTACCAGGGGATCTGGTAGACACTAAACACTCACTCAGGGGAACGTAACGATGTGCAATTAGATAGTGACTGGTGCCATCGGAATTGCAACTCTTCGTTTGCTGCTGAAGTTGGGGACGGAGAGCTTATGAGGGTGTGCTGAGTGCTGTGATGTCGATTCCTAATTCAACACATTTTTATTATTATTTATTACTATTTTTTTTTTATCGCGGATAAAAGTTTACAATATTTTGGACAAATAGCATCATCAGTGTTATTGATTGCGGATCTAATATGTATCTCGTTGTTGCTAGGTAACAGCTATCAACTGTGCAAGACTTCCTGTGTGTGTATGTGGGGCTTATGAGTTGGTGCAGAATTTATTTGACTGTTTACTTTAATCCATGGCCGTAAACTTTCTCCTGACTACATTTACTTTCTTATCACGGTGAGATGATGTGTCGAAATTTTGATACCAATGTAATTAAATTAACACCGTGAAAAATAGCGACTGTTTTGTTTAGCAGCTGTTGAATTATCATGATAATTATTAAATTTGGCCTTAACCAATTAGACTTCTCCGAGAAGTTCTCGGATTACTGGAAGCAGGCCTACCCCAGAGGGGCAGCTATCAGTTATATTGTGGCCTATGTTAATTTGCGCCGCATTCCTAGCTTAAAATTGCTCGCCACCATGTAGTCCTGAATGTAACTCCTGCAGTGTTGATGTGATAGCCAGACCTGACCGGGGACTGAATCGTACATAGGTGGACTGTCACAAGTAAGCCACCCAGGCGTCAAAGAAAAAAATGGGCTCTCCTCCGAACTTCTACCCGATATTATGGCGGCCAAGCAAATAGCCTAACACACAGGGCCTCAGTCGTGTGTAAACTGCGGACTTTCTGCCAAGGAACAAATTGCGGTAAAACTAGGTTCGGCTCCGAATAACAAAACACATGCTCTAAAAGGGTCTCAGCGATATGTTAATTGCGGACCTGTTTCTGTGACTATGCCACAATGCTGACAGTCAACTAGATGGATGGGACTCACGAGCAGCAGCTACCGCATCTCCTGCAACTTCCTCCAATTAATTTGCTCGTGAGTCCCAGGCATCAAGTTCAGATCCCTATCCGCGCCATGCGTAGCGGCGCGGAGGATACTGTCGGCTGTGAGCTTAACAACGTTTTGCGCATGCCTAAAAGTGTGAGGACAACAATGATGCAAATCTGTGTCGAAGCGCGTGGTCTTCGCGCCATGTAGCTATTATCGTCTGTAATTTTGCATGTCTCAAAATTGTCAATGTTCGCTATTATCGTCTGCTACTATCATCTGCAATTTGCTTGGCTGCCATAATATCGGTTAGAAGTTCGGAGGAGAGCCCAAAAAATTAACTCATCTGTAGCATATATATAGGTCCACGCAGGGCTTTTCCGACAAATTCCTGGGCTCTCCTCCGAACTTCTACCCGATATTATGGCGGCCAAGCAAATAGCCTAACAGGACCTCAGTCCTGTACAAAATGTAGAGTTTCTGTCGAGGAACAAATCTTGGCAAAACTAGAATTACTTGACAATTTCAAGAGACACAACATGGCAGACGATAATAGCGACCGTTGACATTTTCGAGACATGCAACATTACAGACGATAAAAGTGATATGGCGGGGGAGACCATGCGCACCGACGCAGATTAGTGATACTGTTCTTCTAATTGAGGATTTAGCAGCGGTAGTTGAAGGCCTGTGGATGCTGCTAAAACGGAAACTACGCTACCAACCGGGCACTAGTTGGCCTTTGTTTCCATCATATTTATGTGAATTTAAATGGTGTCACTGCTAAAAAAAGCAGATTTTCAGGCACTAATTGCAACCTCTGTGCCACAGCTTTCACATAAAATAGCATTAATAATGGGTAAGTATTTCTCTTCATTCTTGTCTTCACACTTTTCGGCATGCGCAAAATGCGATTAAACTCACCACCGAGCGTATCCCCCGTGCCGCTACATACGACGCGAATGGGGATCTTCTTCTTCTTCTTTGCGTTCACCAGCTGTAAACTCTGGCGGAAGGTTCTGGTTGCTCGTCCACTACTGAACTGCAGTCCTGCTCCAGAACCTGAGTGTTGCATGTGCATCAGTTTTACAGATTTCATTCTCTTGAATACAGACTGTTGGTTCCTTGCCTCTCCGGCAGATGCACTCCGACTTCAAAGGAAGCTCCCCAATTAGTCAACTCTTATGACATGCTTTTGGGGAGGCAGTGGGTCTATTCTTGTTTTCCCCACAATGGGCCCCGGAACCCACACGGGAAAGGGGGTGATCGGGATCTAAACTAGATGCCTGGGACTCACGAGCAAATAAATTGGAGGAAGTTGCAGGAAATGCGGTAGCTGCTGCTCATGAGTCCAAGCCATCTAGTTTAGCCCCGTATCCACGCGGCGAGTATTGGCGCGGGGGAATACTGTCGGTGGTGCGGCATAGTCGCAGAAACAGGTCTGCAATTAACATATCGATGAGATCCTGTTAGAGCATTTGTTTTGTTATTCGGAGCCGATCCTAGTTTTGCCACGATGTGTTCCTCAACAGAAACTTCGCATTCTGCACAGGACTGAGGCCCTGTTAGGGTATTAATTTGGCCACAATAATATCAGGTAGAAGTTCGGAGGAGAGCCAATGCCTGTACTTACCATATAGTGTCCATTACAGCGAACGCTAAAAATGATGCCTTAAAAAAGCTGCAGGTACTGCATGCCTTTGTGCACTGCCAGAAAAAAGCCTACATTTAACATCATTGTGCAGAGATATGTTAAGTCAGGTTAAAGGTCTCATACGAGTACATACAGTGAAACTCTGGAAAAGGTTATGTTTCTTTCAGTTATAAGCATTTATTGTTTTGCTTCTTACTTATTTCTCTGGTAGGGACCCGCTGTGGTGTAATGGCAAGATGCTCACCAGCGGATCAGAAGGTCGTAAGTTTGGGTCCTGACGATGTCAGACTTTAAAAAAAAAAGACTTTACCTTCCAGGTTGACCCAGCCTTGAGTGATGACCATGTCACCCCCCCCCCCCCCCCCCCCCCCCCAGCTGCCGATTGGTCTTTAAAATATAAGTCTAGCCCAGTGTGCCTGAAAGTGTGGGAAAAGGTCCTTTTACTTGTTATCTCTCTTGATC